AATACAATCTTTTCGACATAAACTCGATTATGCTTTTTCTAACGCGAGTACCAAATAACTTTCCCTTATTATTTTTATTCATCATGAAACTTTGGTGTCATTCACGTTTTATAAGCGTTGTAGCCGAGATGATCTGTAATTGTTCAATGAATCATATCAGTAGATGCTTTCATTTCTTTTGCGAGCAATCGTATTGAACCTTTTTTTCCTTTTGATACTCATTGTTTAACCTTTTGAGAAAATCTTTTTGCACAAAAAAATTCCAGAACAACTTTTTATTCTTTCCAAATCAATTGCATCTGTTTTGTTTGTTGATTTTATTCAATAGTATATTGTTCTTTTAAAAATAATATCCCGCAAATTTTGATGGATTTTGCTTCCACTGTGACCCTCCTGATACATTTGTAGTGCAAGTTCTCGACCGTCTTTACTTTTTATTCTAATTTTTTTTTGTGAAAACCGATATAAATCTAAACATTGGACAGACTTGTAAACGCTAAAAGTATCCGTCTCCCAGTATATAAGGATATCGTATAACAATTGAAAAATGAGAGAATTATGAATTAGAATTTAGTACAGTTTATCTTGGAATACCTATTAGAAAGTTCCGGAGAGTGCTTTCAGCTAGTGGAAATTCATCTGGTGTCTCAAAAACGATTGAATTTCCAAAAAAGTGATATAACGCATTATATGAAACCGTCACCTTCATGTTGTATATGAAAATATCCTTTGCTTCTTTTATCTTGTTTCTCTATGCATATATCGAAATAGCTATCATAAGCTACTTGAAACTTTTGAAAAAAACTCAGTTTCACAGGATAACTTTGTATTTTAGTTATTTACCTGCTATGCTTGTTATGTTTTCCGTCATGAAACCTTGGCAAGAATTTTATTCTGTATATTTGGACAACGACTTAATATTTGTTTTAAATAATCCTTTTCACTTTTATTTTCTTCAATTAAACTCAAGTAACTTCATAATGTCAATACATTCACGCACATTTGCTCGATCGAGGTGATTAGCAGGAAGAGAGCGTTCTTGAACGTCCAGAAGTCTCCGTATAGAAGACAGTACTTGTGAGTACTCTCCCGTGTTATTGTAAGAAGTGGCAAAGTCAGAATTATTTTGAGGCAAATTTTTCCCATCAGCAGAAAGTGCTTTTTCACAGAATAAAAGCCCTTTCGAGTAATTTCCCAAGGCTTCATAAACGTTGGAAAGATTGGTGTACAATGCAACAAGATTAGGGTGATTTGTAGGAAGAGTTTTCTCCCAAATTGGAAGGGCCTTCTCGTAGAATGACTCTGCTTTCGAGTATTCTCTCATGCTGTTCAACGTAGACCCAATATTATTGTAAGTGATAGCCAAGTCAGGATGATTTTCGGGAAGAGTTTTCTCCTGAATGGAAAGTGTTTTCTCGTAGAACTGTAGTGCTTTTGAATATTCTTTCATACTGTCATACACAGAGCCCATGTTGTTGTAAGAAGCTGTTAAAGTCGGATGATATTCAGGGAGAATTTTCTTCCAGATACATAACGCTTTTTCATGAAATACCATTGCTTTCGAATATTCTTTGATTTTTTCATACACCGCACCAATGTTGTTACAGGTGGCGGCCATATCCTTGTGATCTGTAGTAAAAGTTCTTTCGTAGACCGAAAGTGCCTTTTCATAATATCGAATAGCTTCCAAGTAATTATTTTTATAGGTCTGGATGCACCCTAAATGATGATTATAACTTGCTTCTTCGATTTCTTCGGTTGCTTGCTTCAGCAAACCAAGATAAAGTTCTTCAGCTTTATCCAGTTTATGTACTTTGATTAATATATTTCCTAGGCGCTCCCATCCTGTACCACCTTTCAACTCTTCTTCAAATAGATCAGTGATGATACGCAGCTCTTTATCATCATCTGATGTCAATGTCAGATGTACTTCGAAAATTGTGTCACTATCACGGAGCTTCTTGATCTCATTAATACGAAATACTGCGTGCATAGAAAAGAGGACTTCAGCTTCAGATTCGAAATGGCTTTGATCTGATATATCAGCAAATGGCGTTGCGTTTACTTTAGGATCAATCAGCATGACGAAAAGAATACCAACTTTCTCTCTGTTCTATGAAACACCATCAACAAACATCAGAGAAACTTCTCTGTGTTTGCTAGTGGAGAGAAAACAGTTAAATGACAGAAGGCCACCTTGAGCCTTTTGAAGTTTTTCGAAATCGGCGCAGGAAAGCACTTGTCCACGATAGAGAAGGAACGATTTCCCTTGATATTGTCGCAGTTGTACTTGATGCAAATCTTTTATCTGTCGATAAAGGTCTTGAATGAAAAAACCCATATTAACGATAATGTCACCTTCCAATAATCGCAGACAGCGGTTAAGTATCCCGTAAATAAAAGGGTACTGACTATACCATAAGAGAGCATCACTTGACTTATAATTATGTTCGAATTCACTGATTTGTTGCAATGCTCTGGCATTATCTTGATATACACCACGGCAAAAACTCATAAAGTTTACGAGAGATTGCCGACTATGTTTCATTTGAACTACCGTATTCTTGAATAGCTGAGTATACATAAAAGATGGGTCCAGTTGATTGATATTCGGAGCAGATCCGCCCGTAACCATGGATAAAAAACTCATTGGTATTGAATCGTGATCATATTGCTTATTAATTACTCGAATCGCTTCACACATAGAATTAACGCAACTATACTGTCCTCTGATCTTCGGCCACTCTTTGGTCCATTGTTCATTACAAGTTTGATCGTCACCAAAAATATAAATAGCATCAACTTGCACCATCGAATGGATCTTAGGAACAAAATCATGTCCAACAGTACTCGATACAACAACAACAACTTTCTCCATTGGAACACCTTCAAGGAAACGTAGACATTGATCACGTTGCGCGAAGAAAACTACATGGCTGATCACTTTCTGTAATTGTTCGACGGTACGCTTAACATCGTACTCGTTTTCTTCTACCTTGTCCTTAATCCAAAGTAGTAGAGTCTTTTCTTCAGTTCTCTGTGCGAATGTGTTGGAAATTGTTTCTTGTTGGACTGCATTCCTTGTAGACTGGGCCATTTTTTCTTTAATTTTCGTTGCAATGTTTAGATAAGTGGTATAAAACGACGATGATTGTATGGTGATTCTGCTTTCAATACTAAACAATATAAGGTTGCAATTGAAGGCGTCAGTAACTACTAGAATTCAAATTTGATCAACAATTCAATTGTCAAGAAGAAAATAAACTAGCACAGGCTTCGCCACGATCTGTTCTGTACTGTTACTATTTTTGTTCTTTTTTATATCCCTCGGCATTGCGTTTTTTTATTTTTCTCTCAACGAAAGATGTACTTTCACAACAACGCACAGTATTATTATTTTTAGTAAGAGCTTTGGCAACCAATAAGGAGTGTGGGGGTAGGTGTAACTAACTCAACATCTGTCACACCAACTCACACTCACACCCTGTGATTACGTTACCAACTGTGTGCTTAAACATATAGTACAGAAATTATCGGAAACTCTTCAT